CGAGGATATTTTTTCATTTATCTTCAGATAGAGTGGGAGGGAAGGAGAGAGAGAGAGAGAGAGAGAGAGAGAGAGAGAGAGAGAGAGAGAGAAATACTGATGTGAGAGAGACACATCGATTGGCTGCCCCATGCATGACCCTGACCTCAGGGCTGGGGACCGAACTGCAACCGAGGTACGTGCCCTTGACCAAAATCTGACCGGAGACCGTTTTGGTCCACAGGCTGGCACTCTAACCGCTGAGCCAAACTAGCCAGGGCAGTGAATTTATTATACAAATAACGAATATTGGTTTGGTGAAATGGATTAGAGAATCATGCAAAACTGTATCAAAATTAAGTCTATGAAAGATTTAAAAGAAAAAATTATTGAAGTTCAAAATGAATAATTAAAATAAATGTGATGATGGCATAACAATTACAAACAGAATGTTCTAGAAAATTGGATAAGTGCCTAAATTAAGAGATACCCACATTTATTTATTTAAGGTTACAGCCACCCATAAAACTTAGTATTCAAAAAAATCTAGTGGCGCCCAGTTGGTGTGGCTCAGTGGTTGAGCATTGACCCATGCACCAAGAGGTTGCTGGTTTGATTCCCGGTCAGGGCACATGCCCAGGTTGTGGGCCAAATCCCCAGTGGAAGGCATGCAGGAGACAGCCAATCAATGTTCTCTCTCATCGATGTTTCTAAATTGATCTCCTCCATTCCTCTCTCTCTCTAAAAATCATAAAGAAAACATTTTTAAAAAATCTAATGGCATATGATATAGCAATTCCACTTCTGGATATTTATCCAAAGGAAATAAAAACACTAACTTGAAAAGATATCTGCACCCTCATGTTCATTGCAGCATTATTTACAATAGCTAAGACATGGAAACAGCCTAAGTGTCCATTGATGGATGAATAGAAAAAAAAGTTGTGGTATGTATGTCTCTGTGTGTGTACATGTATATTCAGCCATAAAGAATAAGGAAATCTCCCCATTTGTGACATCATGGATGGACCTTGAGGGCATTTTGCTGAGTGAAATAAGTCAGGTAGAGAAAGACAAATGCTGTATGATCTCATTTATATGTGGAATCTAAAACACACACACACACACACACACACACACTATACTGAACTCATAGATACAGAGACTAGATTGGTGGTTTCCAGAGGTGGGGGATGGGCAAAATGGGTGAAGGTGGTCAAAGGTACAAACTTCCAGTTATTAAAAAATAAGTCATGGGGATGAAATGTACAGCATGGTGACTATCACTAATAATACTGTATTGTATATTTGAAAATTGCTAAAAGTGAGATCTTAAAATTTCTCATCACAAGAAATAAAATGTATATGTGTGGTAATAAATCATGTACATCTGAAACTAATATAATGCTATATATCAATTATATTTCAATTTTTTTCAAAAAAGTTAGTGGCCAAAAAGAAATGGTAGTGGCATTTGAAATAAAATAATTCTTAATGATGGACAGTAAGTGAAAGGAAAACTAGTTAGAAGGTAAACTATTATTGAACAGAATATATCCTTTTAGTGTTCTAAGTCACATTCAGAGATACAGCTGAAAAGGGCTGTGTGCAAATAAATTTTATATAATATGTTATAGTGCTTAAAGTTTTGTAGTTTATATATTTTTAGGTACTAATGTCAAATTTGGGCTCAAATTCAGTTTAAGGCAACAGCAATATACTTAGTTGGGAGGTTTTTCTCCTCTGAAAATGAGGCTTGCCTCTAAAATTTCTTAAAGTTCTGTGATCTCTACTGCATTATATAGCTAGGTGCTTTTATTTTTTTCCAGATAAAATGATATTCTAAAAACTGTTAGGTAAATTCTCCTAGTTCATTGTCCTTGATTCACTGCCACCGTAATCATGGCTCTAGTTGTGGCTGTGTTTTCTTTGAAGTTCTAGAAATGAACCACAGACACCTTCAAACTTTGGAAATCAGGTGTGTTTATTTTTTAAAGAAATTTTCTTTTTTAAAGATTTTTTTCTTGATTTTTAGAGAAACATCCATCAGTTGCCTCCTGTGTGCCCCCTACTGGGGATCATGCCTGAAATCAGAGCATGTGCACCGACCGGAGTCAAACCAGCAACGACGCCCCCCTTGGTTCTCAGGATGATGGGAATCCCCCTTGGTTAAATGGGCCACACTGGCCAGGGAGGGAGAGAGGGAGGAAGAGAACATTAACGTGAGAGAGACACATCGACTGGTTGCCACCCACATGACCCCAACCAGGGCCAGGGACAAACTGCAACCCAGGTACGTGCCCTTAGCGGGAACAGAACCCGGGATTCTGTGCTGGCTGACGCTCTAACCGCTGAGCAAAACCGGCCAGGGCAAAGGATTTTAAACTCTTGTGGCTATTACAAGTCCAAATCAGTGTTTTAGCTTGTCTACAGGCACTTCTCTGTCACTGAGGCCTACTATTTTGGTGCTTGAGACAAAGAATGTCTAGGAAGTCTGACCTGAGCACCAGAGTTTGTCATAAAATTCATGTTTTATTGCTTCTTCATATCAATCTGTTAATAACTGCAAAAGTTTATAATCTTTTATCTTTTGCCTATAATCTATTGAAAGACGGTTGGTGCAAGTATGTAGGGAGACCCACCACCATTTTTTGGCTAGCTGAGCACCTGAGCACCTCAGATTTTTTTTTTTATCCTCACCCGAGGACATTTTTTGTTCAGATAGAGTGAGAGAGAGAGAGAAACATCGACGTGAAAGGGACACATCGAGTGGCTGCCACCCGCACGACCAACCCGGGCCGGGGACAAACTGCAACTGAGGTACGCGCCCTTAGCGGGAACCGAACCCGGGTCTCTCTGGACTGCAGGCCGATGCTCTAACCACTGAGCTACCGGCCAGGGCAGCACCTCAGATTTTTAAGCTTGCGAATTTTAAGCATGTACTTCTGCATCTGAATGTTCCTTCTGTCTAACCTTTCCAGGCCAGCATTGTCTTCAGTAGAGTGCATGGATCACAGTTCACAAACCTAAATATGTCAAGTTGACCGTCACTGTTGAGGCTGTTTTTGTAGACTCCTATAGCTAGCTCTCTGGCACTTCTGGGTCATGCTGGGTTACAGAAATCTTTGACAAAGTTGGGAACCCATGGGTCTCTAAATCAGTCTTCCTGTACGAACAGATGTAGCTCTTCCTTTTAGGTGTCATAGCTCCCTCCATTAGGACCTGAGTAGTCTCTGTTTTGGAGCTTCAGACTTCTGCTTCCCCTTAACATCCAGTCTCTTCCTTTAAATGTTATTTTCCTCAGTGTGCTGAGGCTTTTTGGAAAACAAAAGCCAGTTAAGTCCAGTGAAAGCTATTTCTGCTTTCTTGCTTACATAACTCTTTTTAAGAAAGGAAGCACAGAGGGGAAAAGCACAGGTGAGGTGGAAAAAATTAGCATTCAAAGCATTATTCAGCATTTTAATTCATTCTAGAGGGGATTACACTTAAAATTTAAAAAATTTTATTAAGAATTTATTTTTTACAGCAGCTGTAGATTCATAGCAAAATCGAGGGGAGGGTACAGAGATTTCCCATGTATTTCCTGCTCCTTCCAAATGCATAGCCTTCCTCATTATCAATATTCTCCACCAGAGTTATAGATGTTACACATGAACCTACGCTGACATCATAATCATCCCACGTGCATAGTTAACATTCACAGTTATGCTTTAAAAAAAGGGAGAGAATAATTTTATAGAGGTATACTACATTTATTGGTATGGAAAGATAGTCACAATGTATTGTTTTGACAGAAGTTAAAAAGCTGTCTCTCTAGAAGATTTTAATGTTTACATAGAAAATGTATGTGCATAATATATACCACCATGTAACAGTGACATCTCTAGATGTCACCGGAATCCACACATCATAAAGTGACCTTTTCAATAATTGAATTGGGGAAGACATCTGAGATTGACTCAGGATTCACTGATACTATCTTGTTTTATATTGCATTTAACGTTTTCTGGTAATTTACTGTACACTAACTTTAGACCTGAACGTACTGGCAGTACACAGTATACCAATACTCGTAACTTTATTTAGCGCAGTGGTAAGTGACTTTTAAGTATCGCTGAGAGACGGAAGCTGTATCTTGAGATACGGCTGAATGTTCTCAAGAAAAGAGGGAAAAGGACCACTGCCGTGCACGGCTTCTGATTCTAGGGGGTTGGGAAGTTGATAATAGTAACTTGGTGGGTAAAAATGAATTGGAAGTCACAAATTCTGTGCAACAGCCGTCACCTGCAGGCTGTCATTTCACAAAGTGGAAAAACGCGGTGGGCGGGGAGTCGGGAGACGCAGGGAGATCGTCCTCGAGTCCTCCGGTCCCACTAGCTCTCACAGGGTTAGTTCTCTTTAAGCACAAGTTAACTAAGTAGTCAGAGCCCCCTCTTCCCACGCTGCGCCCAGGGCGCGGGCAGGCCGCGGGTCCAGGTTCCGTAAACAGGAGCCCGGCTCCGGGCCCGGCCCCGGCCCGCTGGGGTGCGTATGCCCTCAGGGCGGTGGAGTCTTCTTCAGCAGGGAACCTGGGAAGTAACAATGGGAGTCCAAGGCGCCATGTGAAAAACAATCCTGTGAATCGTTCTTGTACGAATCGTTGGCAGAAGCTTAACCCCACTTCTCCCGGGGCAACTTGCGCCACCCAGGTTCCGGACCAGGCACCGAGCACACCTCCACAGCCACCGGAAGCGCCCCCCACACCCTGAAGCGCCAACAGCAGCGCGCCGCCGAAGCTCGGGAGAGCGGCCCACACCAAGTGCGCAGGTGCGGAAAGTTTTCCGCCCCCCCCCCGGGCCTCGAGCCAATCCCTGGCGACCACGCCCAGGCGCCGTCGGCCGTTTGCTTTCGAACGGCGGCCCCGCGCTCTTTCCCATTGGCCGATGCTACGCGATTGAATGTTACCGGGAGACGGCACCTGCGTCAGGAGGCTCCGCGGAGGCCCCGCCTCGTCTCGGCCTCAGAACGGAGGAGGGCGGGGAGGCTGAGCAGTCCCCTGCGTGCCCGTGGAAGCGGGCGGGCTGTGTTCTGGCCTGTGAAGTTGCCCTCCCCGCGGCGAGTCTGAGAAGCTTCTCTTCGGGTTCTAGAAAGCGGCGGCGCTGGGATCCTCTTCGCTCCCTGTAGCGGAGGCTGGCGCATTGGGTGTGTTCGGAGAAGAGTCGAGGGGCTTGATGGAGAGGTTGGGCTTGGGTCCTGCATCTGTTCCCTCGGGTCCCATCGGGGGAGCTCGGGGACCCTCGCTTACCTCTCCCCGTAAGGGGCTGCATTTTGTGAGGGAGAGGATGAGGGTGAGCGGAGCGCGGCTCCGACCGCTGAGCCGGCGCCTCGCGGGGTCGGCGCTCCCGAGCGGAGGGCGCCGCGCGGGGCCACTTGAGGAGGGAGGCCCGGGAGGATTTCTCGGAAACCTCCGGGAAAGGGAAGGGCAAGGGCACTGCTGTTAGGAGCCCTTTCTCTGTGAGAGGTTCTTTTGGAACTTAACCGGGGGTAGGTGTATTTGTGCCCATTTTACAGACGGGGGTCCCCAGGGCTGAGATGCATTGAGGGAAACTGACGCAGGGTCTCAGTGTTTTAGTGGCAGGGCTGGAAGATGACCAGACGTACGGACGGGAGTAGCCCAAGTCCGTACTTACAGTTTTCAGCTGGCAAAATCTTTTCAGTACCGTGAATGTTTGCCCCGGCATCACCATTTTTGGCTAATATTTTAAGAGCTTATAAGATACTTGGCGTTATAAAAGAGGTCTTTCGTGACAATTTATTTGGTCTCAGAATTGTTGGGACTTTCAAGGTACAAATGATACCTCGCCGGCTACTGCAACAACTATTGCCGTTGGTCACTCCTTTCCAAAAAGCACCACGAGGCATAGGGAAGGTAAACATCAGAGACGGTGAAATAGCAACCATTCGTGTGGTATTCTATTTAATATGTTTTTTTGAGACTGTAACTTCTCCAACATTAAAGTCATTTTACTTTTAGGATAAGAATAAAAGAATCTGAGCAAGTTGGAGAAGATAAAGTGTATTCAATCTTCAAACTAGAAGACCAACAAAGCAGGTAAGCTCTGGGAGATCAGTCATGTGAATACAAAAGAAATTTTCAGAAAAATTTCAGTCCCTGGTTAAATGGCACTGTTTCTTTTTTAGTTTGGGTACATAGGTTGATGCCAAAATGCAGGAAAACAGTTAAATTCAGATCTGACCATGGGATTTTTTTTTTTTTTTTAATTTGAAAGAGATACGGTGATCCTGTACTGTTTTGTGCAATTTGTATGTACAAAAGTATTTTTAAAGCTTACCCTATGTGTATAGAATGCACAGAAGTGTGCTTTTTTTTTTTTTTTTTTTTTTATCAGTTAGGGCCACAAAGATGTGAGCCCCAGTCAGGGAGGTGGCACTTGAATTTTCCCAGACTTATAGCTGACTCACACTCTTGAGTCCTAGAGCAAGTCATTTCACTTTATAATGTGGTAAATATAATTTCTCTCTAGTAGTTCTAAAATGTAAGGAATGTTCTGTAACCATTCATGTTTAGAGATGAAAGGCAATAACATATTAGTGAATTAAAACTTAAAAAATTGCCCTGGCTGGTGGGTGACTCAGTGGCATATATCTGGGTTGCAGGTTGATCCTCAGCCTTGGTCTGGGCACCTGCAGGAGGCAACCTATCGATGTGTCTCTCTCACATGGATGTTTCTCTCTCTCTCTCTTTCCCCCTTTCTCCCTCCCTTCCACTCTCTCTAAAAATCAATGGGAAAAAATATACCAGGGTGAGGATTAACAAACAAACAAAAAATTTAAAAAATTGTTTACACAGGATAATGGGCAATGCTATTTTTGGTATTGCTTAATTCTCCATCATTTGTTATCAGTGCTGACCCATCCATAATAGGCTGGTTAGACACCGTGGAGACTCAAAATGAAATCAGCCCTCTGGAGAAAGACTGCATAAAAAGTTTAGAAATTCAGAAATGTGTTTTTGATATTTAAATACAAGAAATTTGTGAAATAACTTATAAATAAATGATTTAGACTCAGGTTATTTTCTGAAAAGATTTTTTATATTCATATTTCTCAGTGACTTAAAAGATAAGCAAGAAATCTTGTACCGATTATTAATTTTTACTTGGGCTTTTAGTACTCATTGGAGGAAAATAGCATTTTGTACTGGATTAATGAACATATATGACTTTGGTAATGAAAGTTTATGGCTTCAGCTTTGCTCTCTAGAGTTTTTTTTAACCCTTTAAATTTTCCTAATAGTATTTTTTGTTGTTGTTTCACATCAGTAAATTACATCTTGGCTGGGTACAGAATTCTTAGGTCATGTTTTCCAGACTCTGGATATTGCTGCATTGTCTTTTAACATTCCTTGGAGATGTTCTGGTTATCTCCTGCTATGGAACAAACATCTGAAGACTTGGCTGGCTGCATGTCCAAGATGGCTTTTTCACTTACATGTTTGGTACCTCATTGCTTCTCCAGTTGGCCTCTCAGCAGAGTAGCCTAAACTTTTTACTTAGTGGTTTGTGACTCTAAGAGGCAGCAACCTACCAGGCTAGTTAAGTGTCATACCCAGAACTATCATAGTATCACTTGTACTGTATCCTGTTGGTCATAGCACTCACATATCCTGTCCCAGATTTGGGGGGGGGGCTTTGGAAATTTCAGCTTCCCAGAGACCATTATGTTTTTCTTTTTTTTCAGGCATCTTTTCTGCCAGGATGTTTGTACGATTTTCTTTCTTTCTTTCTTTAAAATTTTATTTTACACACACACACACACACACATATATATATATATATATATATATATATATATATATTTAAATATTTTTTCTTTATTGATTTTAGAGAGAGAGAAGAAGGGAGAGGTAGAGAGAGAACATCAATTGGCCGCCTCCTGCATGCCCCCCATGGGATTTGGCCCACAACCTGGGCATGTGCCCTGACTGGGAATAGAACTGGCAACCTCCTGGTGCATAGATTGATGCTCAGCCACTGAGCCACACTGGCCGGGCTTGCTTCTGTATTTTATGTGATTTCTTGATTTTTTTCTCTCTTTTAGGTATGTATTAACTTCTTATATGGGAAGGTTTAGTTCTTAAAAACAGTTTCCTTCCCATATTCCATGCCCCTAAAATAATTATATCATCTTCCTGGTTTGGGTTGTTACCTTAAACAACAAACATATCTCACAGTTCTGGAGGCAAGGAAGTTTAAGGTAAAAGTGTCAGTGTAGTTGGGTTCTCGTGAGAACGCTCTTCCTGGTTTGCAGATGGCCATTTTCTTTCTTTTTTTTTTTTTAAATATAGTTTTCCTTTATTGATTTTTAGAGAGAGAGGAAAGGGGAGAGAGAGAGAGATAGAAACATTGATGAGAGAGAACATCAGTTGACCGCCTCCTGCATGCCCCCACTGGGAATCGGGCCCACAACCTGGGCATGTGCCCTGACCAGGAATCGATTTGGCAACCTCCTGGTGCATGGGTCAACGCTCAATCGCCGAACCACACTGGCTGGGCCAGATGGCCATTTTCTTGCTGGGTCCTCAGATGGGGGACTGCAGAGAGGAAACTTGCATAAGCTTGGTGTCTCTTCTTTTTTTTTTAATATTCACTAGATGATATTTTTTCATTTATCTTCAGATAGAGTGCGAGGGAGGTAGGGAGAGAGAGAGAGAGAGGAAGTGAGGGAGGGAGAGAGAGAGAGAGAAGCACTGATGTGAGAGGGACACATCAACAGGTTGCCTCCCACATGATCCCAACCAGGGCCGGGGATGAACTGCAACCCAGGTACATGCCCTTGGTGGAAATCAACCCGTGACTCATTGGTTCATGGGCCGACGCTCTAACCTCTAAGCCAAACTGGCCAGGGCTTCGTGTCTTTTCTTATAAGGATGCTAATCCTTTCATGATGTAATGATCTCCCAAAGGCTCCATCATCACAAAGAGTTAGGATTTCAACATTTGAATTTTGGGGGGATTCATACATGATATTCTGTAACAGTCATGTTTTTTATTAAAATCAATATTTAATATAATGTTGTGACTAATATGACAATTGAGCCATATAATGTACTACACGTATTTCCTCTCTTTTCATGATTCTATCACTTTTCCTTAAATTTAGTTTTCTCATTACCTTTCAGTATGTTCAAACACATGAAATATTCTGTAAGTCTCATTTATTTACTTAAAGACATTCCTTCTGTATCTCTGTCTTCTTCCTCCAGACTACTTGTTCTCTAGGCTACTGCACGGTTTTTCTGGACTTCATTTCACTATTATCTTGGTGAGAATTCTTGTATTTCTTTTCACACTGCAGTTGCTTTTTTAGAAAATGGGAAGGGGGTATGTATTTATTTTTGAGAACTCTTATGTCAAACTCTCTTAGTCTACCCTGAAAAGTTATTTTTCTTTGTACAGAATTTTAGGTTGGAAACCATTTTTTTCCTGAGAATATAGGGTGGGGCAAAAGTAAGTTTACATTTGTGAGTACACAAAACACATTTATTCTTGTATTATTATTAGTTATTCATTAATCCTTTAATAATTTTTTTATTATTATTAATCTACTTTTGCCCACCCCAATGAAGCATTGCTTCATTGTCTTATAGGGTCCAGTGTTGTTACATACATACAGCATAACTAAATCTAACATATTCATCCTAGAAAATATATATAGCTAAAATATTTTGCTCCTTTTCTCTCCAAGAGTTTAGGCTGGTTATGGAAAATTTTTGGAGTATAAAATTTCATACTAGTTCCTGGAAGAACTACCTCCTAAACATGATAACCAACTATATCTTCTGTTTCTCAGGCAGCAACCAGAGTCAGAAAGTTCCTGGCCTTATAGTTATTGTCAACCAGGCTTGCTTCTAAGTATCTGAGTTCTCATGATGAATTTGTTGCCTAAAATTAGTTTTTAATAAATCAGCAAGAAGTGGGTAGTCCACGAGTACAATTTGATTTCTGTATCTTCAAGTTATTCACAAATTTCTGATGAAATTTTATTTAAAAATTTACCTACTATGGAAGTAACTTTTGAGACCATAATATTTGCTTCCATTTTTATAGGAGCTCAGGAGATATTTTCTTTACAATATTGTTGTGAATATCTTCATTTTAAAGAAAGTTGAGCTTTTGGGGTTCCTAAGTGGGTTCATAGGAAAATGTTTTGTAGATTTTGACAAATATAGGACTTTAGAAGCAAGCTTTGGAAGGAAAGGTTGGATTCTGTTTCAGGGGTGATTTTTGTACTTAAACATTAGCTCTAATATTAAATCCAAAATGAATATATGTCCACTGCTCAAATTTTATTCCTTGTTAAGTGCTATTCTTTTCCTTCATGACATTACTGAAATACTCTGAGAAACATGTTTGTTTTTCTTGGGTGGTTTTGTATTATTTCAGAGCTCAGTGTAGATACAGGGTAAAGTCATAAAGTCTTCCAACATGCATTCACTTGAATTTGTGTGCAGTGAATGTCATCTTCTGTACTGTTGTCAGTTAACGTTAGTTTTCTGGAATGTTTCACTGTTGAAGCTTAGTCTCTATGTCACGCATCCTGGCTTATTAGGGTTCTGAATATTGGTCAGTCTGAATGGAGTGTATTTTCTGATGGACTCAACTGTTATAGCTTTTCCTAAGAAAGTATGGATTTTGTTCTTTTAAAAAAACCAGAAAACTAAAATCTGATATTAACATTCCTCTTTTAAGAGGCAGTGTTTACTAGTGGTGAGTGAGTGCCTACTGTGTCACATTTTGTGTTTAGACACAATTCCTGCCCTTACTGCAGGTTTACACTTTAATGGGTAGAAAAGTGTTATAAAATTCTTCTAGATAAAATCCAGTTAAGTGCTATAAAGTGGAAGTGCAGTGTTCAGTTGAAATTAACAGGGCACCTAATCTGGGGATGAGGAAGGGTATAAGTTGAGATTTGAAGCATGAAGAAGAGTTCAGTTTTGAAAATGTTGAAGGTAAGGAGAATAGAGTTACAAAGTCTAAATAGATTTTTATGTTTATTAAAAGTATAATTTGTTTTCTCAAGCTTTTATTAATTGGTAATTACATGGATGACGAATTTTTTGTTTTGTTTTACAACAAAAACAGTGGTGTGACTTGATTTTTCTCTGTATCAGGGTTAAGTAAGACCTGAGCATTGTGGCTTGCATGATAGGTACAAAGGAATATTATAAGGAGATGATAAGGTGCAAAACTGTCAGGCTTGTTGGAAATGTCAGTAATAGCTTGCCAAGAAGTCAATTTACTTGTGTCAGAGAGGGTCTCTGAACTATTGCTGGGCTTCTTTATTAAGGAGAGATGACTAATGGTGTTCTTTACTAATCAGTAATTCTTGTACTACGATCAACTCTTTATTTTTGAAACTGCTTTTTATTGCAAAGACCAATTCAGAAATGTTTTTCCCTTCTAAATCTTCAAATTAAAATTACTTTAACATTTCTAGAGAACCAAGCCCTACCTAGGCTTTCTCCTGTTGCTATCCTAAGCCCTTCCTTGTTTCATTTTCGCCAGCTTAATAAATGTACTCTCAAAATTTAAATAAATAAAAATAAAATTACTTTTAGAGTATTACATTATACTGATCCTGGGTTTTAAGCATACTAGTAGTCCAGTTCAAGAGGCTAAGCCCTGGCCAGTTTGGCTCAGCGGTTAGAGTGTCGGCTTGTGGTCCAGAGAGACTGGGTTCGGTTCCGCTAAGGGCACGTACCTTGGTTGCAGTTTGTCCCCGGCCCTGGTTGGGTTGTGTGGGTGGCAGCCACTTGATGTGTCCCTTTCACGTCAATATTTCTCTCTCTCTCTCTTCCTCTCTCTCCCTCCTACTCTATCTGAACAAAAAATGGAAAAATGTCCTTGGGTGAGGATAAAAAAAAGAAGCTAAGAAATTTATAATAGTTACTAGAGAGATTTTAGTAACTCACTTTAGAAACTATGGTTGAGGCAACTGGGAGCATGAATTCTTCTTTGGAATTAAATAATATAATTTTGCTAAGCCTAACTTATTTTAGCATTTTAGAATGTAAAAAGTTTCACAGATAGTTATAATCATTAAGTAGACAAACAGAATACCAAATTTAAATCTTCATTACATAGGAACAAACTTAAATAAATTCAATTTGAAGCATTACAAATTAATTAGAATTGTTTTGTTTAGCACGATTTTTGTCCCAAATAAAGCTCTTAAAGATGATCAACTAATCAATATTATTTATTAAGAAGTGCATTACATTAAAAAAAAATCTTAGTAAGCCCAGACGGTGTGGCTCAGTGGTTGAGCATTGACCCATGGCACCAAGAGGTCGCGGTTTGATTACTGGTCAGGACACATGCTCAGGTTGTGGGCCGAATCCCCAGTGGGATGCGGGGGGCATGCTGGAGGTGGCCAGTTGATGTTCTCTCTCATCACTGTTTCTCTCTCTCCCTCTCCCTTCCTCTCTCACTAAAAATCAATTAAAAAAATTATTAAAAAAAAAATCTTAGGCTCGGCCGGTGTGGCTTGGTGTTTTAGCGTGGACCCATGCGCCAAGAGGTCGCCAGTTCAATTCCCAGTCAGGGCACATGCCCAGGTTGTAGTCCCGATCCTCAGTGGGGGGCTTGCAGGAAGCGGCCAATCGATGTTTTCTCTCTCTCTCTCCCTTTTTCTCTCTCCCCCTCCCTCCCTTCCTCCCTCCCTTCCTCCCTCCCTTTCTGTAAAATCAATAAAGAAAAAAAAAATCTTAGTAAATACCTCAGTTATTCTTTTAAATGACAAGTATAGTATATTACGTTTGGAGGTTAATAGCTAAACTTTACATATATGTGCAGTTATTTTGTTATATGTAGACTTAAAATACTTTTTTCTCTTGACAGAAAATGTACAATTTTGAGGACGAGTTAACATGTCCTATTTGTTACAGTATTTTTGAAGATCCTCGTGTACTACCATGCTCTCATACATTTTGTAGAAACTGCTTGGAAAATGTTCTTCAGGCATCTGGTAACTTTTATATTTGGAGACCTTTACGAATTCCACTAAAGTGCCCTAACTGTAGAAGTATTATTGAAATTGCTCCAACTGGTATTGAATCTTTACCCGTTAATTTTGCATTAAGGGCTATTATTGAAAAGTACCAGCAAGAAGATCATCCAGATATTGTCACTTGCCCTGAACATTACAGGCAGCCATTAAATGTTTACTGTTTACTAGATAAAAAATTAGTTTGTGGTCATTGCCTTACCATAGGCCAACATAATGGTCATCCTATAGATGATCTTCAAAGTGCCTATCTGAAAGAAAAAGACACGCCTCAAAAACTGCTTGAACAGTTAACTGACACACACTGGACAGATCTTACTTGTCTTATTGAAAAGCTGGAAGAACAAAAATCTCATTCGGAGAAAATGGTCCAAGGTGATAAAGAAGTTGTTCTCCAGTATTTTAAGGAGCTTAGTGATACATTAGAACAGAAAAAAAAATTTTTCCTAACTGCTCTCTGTGATGTTGGCAATCTGATTAATCAAGAATATACTCCACATATTGAAAGAATAAGAGAAATGAGAAAGCAGCAACTTGAATTAATGACATTGACAACATCTTTACAAGAAGAGTCTCCACTTAAATTTCTTGAAAAAGTTGATGATATCCGCCAGCGTGTGCAGATCTTGAAACAAAGTCCACTTCCAGAGGTCCAGTGTATTGAAATTTATCCTCGAGTAAGCCAAGTATTGAAAGAAGATTGGAGCAGAACAGAAATTGGACAAATTAAGAAACTTATTATTCCTGAAATGAAAATATCTTCAAGTATGCCATGTTCCTGGCCTGGTGATGAAAAGGAAGTTGAATTTTTTAAGATTCTAAACATTATTATAGTTACACTAATTTCAGTGATACTGATGTTGATCCTCTTTTTTAACCAACACATAATAACCTTTCTAAATGAAATCACTTCAATATGTTTTTCTGAAGTCTCTCTGTCTGTTTACCAAACTTTATCTAACAATCTGTATGATTTAAAGAATGTACTATGTCACATTTTATATTTGCTGAAGGAATTCACGTGGAAAATAGTTTTTCATTGAAAATGCAAATCTATGTTGTTTAAATAGGCTTATTCTGTACAGAAACAACCATTGCTAAATGGAGAAATATAGGGGTTGCATGGATAAATAAAATAGTAAGTTAAACTTTATTAGAGTTGCAACATATATATAGAAATATTAAAAACCTTTCATGCTTCTGTTAGAAATGTGTCAGAAACATGTCAATGTCTCTAGTTTTCAGTCTGAAAACTAGAACAAAATCTGGTAATGATTTGAATGTTATTATCCTTTTGTATGGGTTTGAGAGGTTGACTTAATATTGCTATGGCATGTAAACATTCTTATACAGTACTTTCAGCATTAATACACTGTAATGATTGGCTTTGCAGTTCTTCATACATAGTAGTGTTTAAATTAAAAGATGTTAAAATCCCAAAAGTGCCTATGCATTTATTTCTGATGTGGCTCAAAGCTTTTGAATGGGCAAATAAGGATGGTGAGGTTTTAAAATCAAGCAGTAAAGTCTAAAGTGATAAGGGATTGCTTAAAAATGGTTTTGATCAAACAAACCTGATCCACACATTGTTTTAGATAGATTTAAAAGCCTTAAAATATTTATCAACATTCACTTTTTAAAAAATCGTTATCCAAGAACATTTTTCCATATTTTGTTCAGATAGAGTGGGAGGGAGGGAGAGAGAAACATCGACGTGAAAGGGACACATCAAGTGGTTGCCACCTGCACGAGGACAAACTGCAATTGAGGTACATGCCCTTAGTGGGAACCGAACCCAGGTCTCTCCAGACTGTAGGCCGACACTCCAACTGCTGAGCCAAACTGGCCAGGGCTCAACATTCACTTCTAATAAAGCTATTGCTTTTGGAAATCTAAATATTAGGGAACAAATACCAAATTTCTAATACTTCTGTTAATTTATTTTAGAATTTAACTTTTGTGTAGTGTTTTACTTAGTTGTCAGATCAGTTCTTGGATAAAAAGTCTGAGACATGTTAGAACGGAGTATGTATTCCATTCTCATCACTTAGACGGCAACATGTTAGCTGTATCTTAAAAGTTCTTAAAATTTTTGCCAAACATCCCTTATGATAACATCAAAGTACCAATAATTTAATCTTATTTTCTTGGAAGTTTGCTTAAAAGAGAGCCTTAACATTAAGATGGCTGGCTGCATTAGGTCCTTTTATGACCAGCATAATATACCCAGCACAATTAACTATTGTGTGGGCAAAGAACATTTGAAGAGTATAATAGAAGCGGGGGAGATTTAACTTTCAAGTAGCATTTTTTTTCAGTCCTCACCAAGGATATTTTTTCCATGGACTTTTAGAGTGTAGAAGGTTGTTGGGGAGAGAAACAATGTGAGAGAGACACACTGATTGGTTGCTTCCTGCATGCAGCAGGACCTGGTCCCGGGATTGAACCTGCAACCAGGACCTGGTCCCGGGATTGAATCTGCAACCCAGGTATGAGCCTTTGACTGGGTGTGTGTGTGTGTGTGTCTTGGGCTGACGCTCTAGCCACTGAACCACACAGGCCAGGGCTAAAGTTGTATTGATTTTAAAGTATTAGTCACAACACAAAAACATGTAGTTTTAAATACATGTAAATATTAGTAAGTACTGAAATGTATGTTATGTGTCAAACACTTAATCTCACATTTCTGAAGTAGGTATGAAACTCCCACTTTGTAGATGAAAAAACATAAAAGTAATTTGTCCAAGGCCACGTAGTTAGTATATGGGAGACTCTTGCCAGTTTTTAGTAGCTAAAACTTTTTGATTAATGTGCATGAATATAGTCAAATACAGGCATACCTTGTTTTATCATGCTTTTGCAGAATGCTGTTTTTAGAAATTGGTTAGTGGCAACTGTCGAGCATGTCTGTCAAAAAAATTGTAACTCGCTGAAAGCTCATATGGTTAGCATTTTTTTTTTTTTGCAATAAAGCATTTTAAAAATTAGGTATGTACTTTTTATAATGCTGTTGCAGACAGCTATATGTGTAGCATAAAACCTAAGTGCACTAGGAAACCAAAAAATGTGTGACTTGCTTTATTGCGGTGGGTGGTCTGGAACAGAACACACAGTATCTCCAGAGTTATGCCTGTATATAATTGCTTCTTAAACATACTGTTCTCTTGTATTTTTACTGAGGATGAGATTGCAAAATTTAAAGTATATACTGAAATATTTCTAAGTTTTATGTATAACGAGTATGTATTTTAATAAACTCTTGATACTTTACATTGAATGGCTTAATAAGGCACTTAAGCTCAGGAGTGGTATCTTTGGAGTTTTCATATGGGTTCTGGGTATCATGCACTTTTAACTTTTTACTAAGCTTTATTACTCTATTAGTTATTAAAATTAAATAATTTAATTCCATTCCATTACTGGTGAGAGTAACTACTCTCACCAGTAAAAAAAAAAAGCATTTGATTATTATAGCCTTTTCTAGTTACTTTTCCTTTATATAATCATGATTGAAAACAAATTACCAGGATGTGAGGGGATCTGGCTATGACATCTGTCACCCCGTTGATTTCCAGAGTTGATTTTGCTGATCTGGCTGGCTAGGTGGCTGTCCCCATCCTCCCTCACTGCCCCATGTGCATCCCTCTTGAAGCTGTGTGTGCTTGGTCTAAAAGGACTGTTTTTGGTCAACTACTTTCCCCTCCTAGGACCTCCAAAGCAAGCTCTCAAGGTCCATTTGTAGGACATAGGGTATCAAGCTTCCAAGATTCCAGACGTCCAAATGAGGCACTGCACATGGCACAATGTAGTTAAAATTAAAAAGCCAAACGAATGACCATACTTCAGTTTCACATCTTTATTTAACTCTACACTAATGTATTTACATTTTGAATGGTGATGTTATCATACAAACCTTTCTTGGATTTTTAGTACCTATTTACTGAATAATGAGCTAATTAACTCTTATTTTTAAGCCTTCAGGATCAATATCTAGAAATTAAATAGTAAGGGCAAAGACTTTTGATTCAACACCAAAAGCTAATAAAGGTATGTCAGAAAACAAAACAAAAAAACCCTGACAATTTGGTAGACAAACCAGCCCCCCATTTTACTTTCCATTCACACTAAGGAAGTTAACCCCTATATACTTCATTCTTTTTATGAAACAACTATAGCGGGTATTTCTTCTTTTCACTGCATATAATACCCTAGTCATGTTAAGACATTCTCATTTTGCTGGCCCTCTTAAGTGTTTTAAACACCAAGTTTTTGAAAAGCATATAAACTATTTCAATTCTCATCCTTATAATCCAGAATAACTGATTAAAAAAAATGTTCCCAGTATTTGGGTAATCAATACAGTGATTGTCCAAATGAGTAAATTAAGTGAAATACCTTAGGAATTTATAAACTACTAGTGAGGTTTTTCCACTGTAGGTCAAAGGTCCACGAGAGTATGCTGAATTTTGAAAACATGAACTAGTTTAGAACTTGAATGTTAACTAACATACTTTTAACTGCTGGTAGCAATGTGGGGGAAAAAAAAGCAGTAACCAGACCCTACAGGCATCTTATTTTCTCCATAGTCTGCTGCTTACAGAGTTATCAGATTCTTACAATCTCGTAGAGGCAGGTAGAGAGAATATTTTATTAGACACTTAACAGCATAAACTAGAAGCCAGTTTACATGATCAAGTCCAGGAATATGAATTTTATAGTTTATAATCCTTTACAACTAGAAAAAGCAGTAATACAATACACTGAGTCTATGCAGATTCAAATGGACAAATCTTCAGTATAAACAAGTTTAACAAAGTCCTTTAGATGCAATTTCTTTTGGGTTTACTGCAACACTTTTTGTTATATTGTATGTCTTGTAAATTCCAATAAGTCTATCTGAAATTTCAAACATATTATTTCGAAGAGAAATTATTATGAACTGGGCATTTTTTGTTTGTTCCTAAAGAGAAAGAAATAATATGTTAGAAACATTAAGTATTGACAGGTACATCATATAATAAGCATTTAAGCTTTACTTCCCTGCAATCTATTTTATGCAATAAATTTAACATTACATTGATTATTAACATGAACAGGAATGATGGGATGGATAATTTATGAAACAGTATTTTGGTTTAAGAGGAATTTGAGTATTTCTGGAAGCATGGTTGCTTAGTGAAAAAAAAAAAATCTAGGCAGAGACAGAAGATTCTAGTTGTGTTTCTGCTACTAATATTATCAATTATATTTTACTTTCCCAAAATGGAAATATTTGGTTCAAGTAAAGGACTTTGTATCCTTTGATACACCAGGACATGGAATTAGAGAACAGTTTGGGAAAAGCTCAACAGTACGAAAGTCAAAGAATCCATGTGCAATATTTGAAGAAACCATAAAATTTTTAAGGTAAAAACTTCTAAATGATTACTTACATATATATAAAATGCAACAATGGACACATTTTTAAAATCAAGGGCTGCATCAATCTCATCCATGAAGTACAGGGGAGTGGGTTTGTAGTGATGAAGAGCAAAAACCAAAGCCAATGAACTAAGTGTTTTCTCTCCTCCAGAAAGGTTGAAGATCTTCTTCCAACTTTTCTTAGGTGGTCGAACACTGATATAAGAAAATATCATTAGTCAAATTACTTGTAAAGCTTAAATAGTTTTCCATAACCACTTTCCTCAGGAGTTTCTAACTTAATTTTCGCAATTCTAAATATTTTGGGGGCAATTTTATAAAAACATTATTGGAAGATGAACACACAGGAACATCTACCAAATTTTAAAGATTTAAACCACCAGGCTACTAAGTACTTCTTGCTATTCTTCCCCCATTTCCAATGCATTTTTTACTCTGCAATTTTTAAATCCAGATGTTAAACTGAAATGACTTTAAATTTTAAGAAAAAGACATGTAAAATTAAATATTTGCTGTTTGTCTAAAATTTATGCTCCAAACTGCCAATATGCAAATAATTCAGTATTTACCATGGAATAAAATAAGTTGTCTATCTTCTAATCTTCACATACCTCCCTTAAAAAACATCAAGAATTTGGAGAAAGTACAGAGATATGTGACATAACAGGAGGATCTAGAACTCCGTACTTAATTACAAACCTGAACATGATTCCTTCAGAGAAAGGATCCAAGCTGTCTACAAGCTCCAGTTCAGCATCACCTCCCAAAGTAAGCATCTGGTAATTTTCCTTTAATTTATTTGTTATTATATAAAAACCTGCCATGAATTCATTAAGCCTTTGTTTCCGAAGATCTTCATATGCCTGTCTAAAATTATCTCTTTCATGAGTAATTTTGTCCAATTCTGCTACCCGTTGTAAATATAATTCTTCCTATGAAAAGAATATTATCGTCAGAATAAACACCTAGTCACTTACAAATCTGAGATGACAACCACCGTTAATTATATAAAATTAAAGGCCACAGTTTAGGCTGAGGACTAAAAAAGAATTTCTGATTGATACATTAACAGTTTACGCATACCTTTTTTTTATACTCTGCAATGGCACCAAGGTTTGGTTTCATTTCATGACACTGGGCTTCCAAAAGTGCAATTTGATTTGTTATAGAATCTGGATTCTTGATTGCTTCAAGATCCTCTGGGTTTAGAACTGGAATATCTTCTACAGGATTATCTTCTATGGGATGCAGTGATATTTTTGAAATCTAAAAGTTCAATTAAATAAAGCTATTTAGGGAGGGCATGGTACAACCATTTATTATTTAAAAAGAATCAAAGAAACAATATGACAATTTACCTATCTACTGAAACAACATGTACCAAGAATTTGTGACTAATTTGTGTATCAACTACTTTTCAAAGGACTTTGTCATAGTGTTTCAAAGTGTTCATGTAGCCTTCTGTTAAATCTCCAGATCAACATGTGGATGAAAATGATGACTGCTTCTAAAAATCACCCTGATTTTTCTATATATAAACATTACATGTTGTTCCTTACGTTCCCTATAAACCTGGGAAGTGATTATATCGTGGAATTAAAAATCACAACATATCTCAAACACATATACATACAAAAACAAACAAAAAAAACCAACCATTTTTTCATAAAGGATATTTTGAAGTCACATTTAACTAAATAGTAACAATCTCACCTCTTTTTGCCAATATCTTATTTTAGAATTATGTTCTGCAATGTGACCATCTATTTGTTCAAGTTTCAATTTAATACTAAGTGCATCTTTTTGAAGAGCATGTTCATTTTCCTGAATTACTTTTAGTTCTTGAAGTAGATTACGATGTTCTTTCTGGATCTCTGGTAAGGACTCCTAAAAACCAAGAAAAATTGCTACATATATGACCTTCCCAAATGAAGAACAGGTATTTTTTTACATCACAAAGTTGAAGTTGACAGTCTCTCCCCAAACTCCTTCCATTTTAAACTAAAACTTACTCAAAAGTTACAATATAGTACTCATATTTTTATTGTACAAATAAGAGACTATACAGTTACAAGTTTTAACCCATTGAGCATTTATTATACAAGGTACTGGTGTCACATATCCAACTCCTTAAACTGCTTCACATGCCCTTCTCTCCCCTTCTGAGTCTTACCTCTGCAGCATTTGTACCATTTATGACCTCTGTCGCTTTTTCCTCAAGACTTTTCATCTCTGCTGTTAAGTCACCTACTTCTTTTGCAGTATCTTTTATTTCTTTTTCTGTGCGAAAGACAGAGTCTTGCGCCTTTTTAAGATTTCTAAACAAGTAAAATAATATTTAAAAAATGTGGTAACATGTGACTTGTTAATCTGCTTCTGAAAACCTACCAAACAATTTTTCATGACATATTAATGTGACACTTTTTCTCTTACAAATTTTAATATTTATGATTTAGAAAACCATCCTTGAACTGGTTTTTAAGTTTACACACACACACACACACACACACACACACACACACGTTGGATGTTGTACATTTTATTTAACTCTCAGTACAAATTAATGAAAGATCCTTATATAAGCTTTTAGTATCATCCAATCTTACACTATAAAGCAAAGTTAGAGTATTGTATTCTTTTGATACTTTCTTGCCAGATTGGAGATTCTTAAGTCTCTACACCCATGAACCTATACATTCAAATAAAAATTACCTCCCAGTTTGCCCTGGCCAGGTTGCTCAAATGGTAGGAGTGTCATCCTGAACATCAAAAGGTTGTGAATTCAATTCCTGGTCAGGGCACATACCAAGGTTGCAGGTTTGATCCCCATTCGGGGTGCATATGGGAAGCAACCCATTGATGTTTCTCTCTCCCTCTCTCTAAAACTAATTAAAACCCACATATCCTCGTGTGAGGATTTAAAATAAATTACCTCCCAGTTCAAGTCAAGGCAAGAATACTTCCAAAGGGTTTAGGGGTGGAGGTTGGGGGTCACACTGGGAGGAACAACAGTTTCTCCCTTAATAAAGTTATTTCTACTTTGACAAATGTGTTTAGGCAAACTTCTGCTCTTAACAAAATGATTAATGCCTTATATTTGAGTAAAGGCACTGGAATGACTTAATAACCAGATAAACAATATGCAATCAATTTTTTCTATTTTTAAGATAAGTGATAGCTGTTTACATTTCAACACTTTCATATACATACTTAGCTTTAATTTAGAAACCAGTAAGTAATCTAAAATTTAATTTTAAAACAAGACCTATGAATGGATAAACTTTCTGTGATCTGAGACAATGGAATCTAGTTAATTAAGAATTTAAGTTGCTACAGCAATTTTGCCAAGAAATCTCATTTTTATCTCTTATTCTTCTGAGACCTTGATCTAATCACCAACAGAAAAACAAAGCTTATTTCTATGTCCTCACAACATCTGGGGAGTCACAGAACTACACTTTGCCGAGGTATACCTGTTTTTCAGTGAGTATATGTGTTTAATAAACTGCTCATATGATAAATGTTTAGTATAGCTTTCCCTTTACTCAAGACCTATTAGGTAACAACATGTCAGACAGGCTAAATAAGTAATAGAAACAGTAACAGTAATAGAAACAATTAATGGATATTAAACATTAACCCCCTTTTCAATGTTGAGGTAGGGAAGAGGAAGACAGGTTAGGGTAGTATGCATACTCTACCTGTCAGCTGTCTTGATTGCTACTTGGGCTTTAGTAATAGCAGAAGCACATTCATCTAACTGCTTATTTATTTTATCAAGTTTGTCTTGTTGGGCCTTGAGTTTATGGTTATTAATCTCTACGATGATATTGTGTAACCTTTTAACCTCAGCTTCTATTTTACCAGCTCTTTCAGCCACAGTGTCATATTCTGAAATAAAAAAAACCAATAACCAGATAACACTATGTATATGTCAATGCAAACAGTGTTATATACATGGTAATTCTCTGGCTCAGCTCTGAACATAACCTATTTCTTAATGACTTCATGCTCTCAAGCTCTTTTCAAAGACCTTTTTAACTTTTCTTAGGGTACTTCCTTGCCTACTACTGGTCTCAAAATGATTTTTACCCTTAGACTATGTGCTCAAATTGTGATTATTTTATTGTGCTAACCTAACTTAGAGTTCTCCACGTTTTATAATAAGAAAGTGGGGGAGATGGATAAAATTGGTACTCTTTTATGTGGCATAGAAAGCTAACTCACATTTCCTAAATTCCTTTGTATCTAGGGTCAGACATCATTTAGGTCCATTTAAAAGAAACTGCATAATTTGGGAGGCAAAAGTGATGAATCAAACATGTTTCTGCAAGGATGCAGTCACAGAGAAGTTCTTGGTGGAGTTAGAGAGATTCTGGTGTCCAGTCCAAAGCTTTGTGAATAGAGGCAGTGGCATTAACTTTGATGTCATAGATTATAGTGTTTCTGATGTTGTAATTGTAGCATTATCTTCCTAATTTGAGATTTGACTTTCCAATTGTAGAAGAGGCTAGTATAGCTCCTTTGATGGTTCTACAGAGTAGCTTTGGAAATTATTCTTGAATATTCAACCTAGAATTTCTTTCTGTAGCCATCCTAATGGTTCTGTAAATAATCTACTACTCTCTTAAACACACACACACAGGTCTATACAAATCTTATTTACACTAGCCAGAGTGGATTTGGTTTCCCTATTTGAATCTTAATCATTATACAATATCAGAAGGATAAAAAATGACAAAAAGGTGAGGAGTTCAAGCTATCAAGAATAACTATGTCTAGAAAGGTCAACAAAAAACTGAGCTAACTTATGGAAAGAGATTCCCATAAAGCTATTATAGGAGTTGTACGTACGGGCATTTGGCATAGGTGGAGGCAGGTAGGAGTTGCTGAGATAAAAGGACTGGTTAAGGAATTAACTATTGCTTCCTTTATGTCTCTTCTCTGTTAGGTAGGTTGGAATTTCAACCTTCTCTAAATTTTATAAACTACCATTTCTTTCTTTTAGTTCTACATTACCAGAGAATTTTTTTAGCTTGATCTTTCAGCCTATATAATCAGTTAATTCAAACAAATCTGTTTTTTACATTTCTGAGATCACCACATGGCTCTTAAAAAACAAAACCAACTTGTTTTGATGTTCTTTTGGACCCCCTCCCCCCCCTTTCCCTCTAAGGATATTAAATATTCACATTTAAAAGCTCTATACTGCCAACACTAGTCATTTTGTTTTCAGGTCTAAGATGGCTGAAATTCCATCAGGTGCCTGTGTGCTCAGCTCACCCGTAGGACAGAGCACTGGCTATAGTGAGGGCTGGCACTACAACTTACACTGGGTATTCGGCCAGGTAAACAGCTGGAAAGAGTTCTAAACCTTTAGAATATTTTCCTTATTTTCAGGTATATACAATACATTTCTTTTTAAATATTATAGTAACATGTCTATTAGAAATAGGAGGAAAAACTGTGGCACAAAATCTGTTAATTTTGAAGTCACTATTCTATACCACCTTACACCCTGCCACCTTACTCTATTCTCTACATATTAGCCAGAGATATTTTTAAAACTAAACTAATATAAAATGAAATACTTAATCTTAAAGATATTCTTGCAGAAATGGGTCCTCCATATTAGGCATTAACAGTCTACTGATAATAGCCAGCATTTCCATGAGAGGAGAAATATACAGAGCTCCTAATAAAGTCAAGGTTACCTTTTCAAACAAAAATAAAATAC